TAGGGTTTAGGGTTTAGGGCGGCTGCTAAGTTGTTGAGGAACTTTCAGAACATGAGCATCACTACATTTTGTGGTGCTATGTTTTTTCCCCACGTTTGTAGCTTAACGCAAGTTTGCTTTAGCAGCAGCCCGGCCTTTATGGTCGAAGCACCTTCGCAATTCCTTCATTGAAGAATATGTGGCTTGAAGTGCTCTCAGTTCCGCAGTTTGGGAGTCATCCCTCATACTCATGGCATTTTGGAGGCTCAGGGAAGAACAATTGGGAGTTTGTCTCGCCACCCTTCTCTGCTTAGAGTAGGAGAATGTCGGATGACGATGCACGTTTGTGGAACGCTGCCGATCTGCGGCCACCAGAGAGCACGGCAACGGCAAGTGCAGGGACCAATGCAGGCGCGGTTGCAGGGCCAGCAATGGTGGTAGCTGCACTGTAACATTGCAAATTGTAGGCCGAGGCTGCTTTTGGCACCCCGCTAGCTGCAGCCAGGATCCAATGCGCCGGTTGGCGCAGAAGCTGCCCCCTCGCGAGTCGCGAATGTGCAGAAGGCAGCTGTTCAGGGGGGGACGGTGGCGTCGGCTACGCCACAGGCCCCGCCTACACCCATGCAGCGTGCACCTCACTTGAGCGCAAGCAAAGAAGGCGGAGCTGAGCCGCAGAGCTCCGGTCCCATTGCACCTCCCAACACCAAGGAACAAAAGCAGGAGATCGCCCGGCAGGTCGAGAAGTTTTTGGAGAACATGAAGGCCTGGTCTCAAGCCGAAGGGCCCAACAAGGTGCAAGCCGCTGCTATGCTGGTGAATCTAGGTGAGATTCTACTTGGGCTCTGTGCCAACATGGACCCATCTCTCTTTTCCTTCACGGCAGTGGTTGGTGATGAGAGCGCTGGCAAGACAGTACTGGTGTGTGCCCTGATCAAGCAGGTCATCTTGCAAGTGAGTCCTCTGGTGGGAACCACGGTGCGCACGCTCATCAAGCAAACTTGCGATCTGACCCAAGAGGAGGATTTCCTTTGTGACCTGATCTACAATGAGCAGTTCCATGGCAGGAGGATGTCGCCCGATGACCTCTTGAAGATGTATGTGGATCTCAGCGAAAAGAATAAGAAGTCACTGAGCCAGAAAATCGACACACAGCAGATTTGTGAAGTTTCTGTCACCGCCAAAGAGCCCAGCCTGAGCCTTCAAGTCATGGATCATCCCGGCTTTTCTGCGGATGTCCAAGAGCCGGTTCGGCGCTGCTTTGAAGAGACCCTCGATAAGTTCTTTACAGGCCATGCAGGAGGAACGCCATGCAAGAATGCATCCGTGCTCCTCTGCAACGCATTGGACAAGCCTGCTTCGCAGGGCTTCTTCACAACGTGCTCCAGGCAGTACCGGGCAGTTGCCAAGGGCCAGATGAACCTAGCCATAACCAAGTGCGACATGTTGGCAGAGCAGTCCACGATGCGTCGGCTAGCCCAGGAAATGCTCGAGAAGAACTACCACGTGTGCAAGACTCGTGATGGCAGCGATGTGGTCAAGGTAAAGCCGGCGCAGATTCTCGATTTCGTGAAGCGGCAGATATTAGAATACACACCGAACGGCGAGCGAGAACCTGCGCTTCCAGACCACACCAGGGTCTTTTTCGTGGCAAGCTACAAAGGAAGCGTCAAGGAACTCGAGCAATGCAAGGATCCCCGCCGACGCTGGACGATCTTCCAGTCGGATATCGACAACGGCCAGGACACAACCGAGCGCGCCTTCAAAGAAGCCTTGTACAACAAAGAAGCTGCCGGATCACAGTTGGACACAAGTTTATCTTTTCTAGGTCGTGCCAAGCCCAAAGGAATAAGCTTTATTTATAGACCCCTCAATGATCCAGGCTTGGTTGAAGGTCGGCGTTGAGCTGGTAGAGGAGAGCGATGAAGAAAAGAAGGCAGTGCAGGTCCAGATTGGTGTGCACAACCTCTTCAAAGCTCTAGGTGAAAAGGCGGCAGACGGATACAAAGATGCGGCTGAGAAGATGCTAGAGCAAGTTCAATCCACTCGCCAGAAAGTTCAAAAGGAGCTGTTGGGTTTGGGCGGAAGCTTGCCCGATTTGGATCTTGCCAGGCTGATCATGAAAGTGCTACGGAAGTTTGTGGAGGATTTCCTTGTCTCAAGCAAGGAGGAGCGCTACAACCCCAATGCCGGCAACAGTGCTTCACGCCATCAGTCTGAGCAGCACATCGACCAGCAAATCTATGACAGTTGGCAGAAGAAGCAGCGAACGCTCGGGTGGACCCTGAGTGCAGAGATGGTGATCTTTGACGGCTTGGAATGGAAGGGCCAGCCAGTTCCCCCCAGACGACGACATGATGTTGGAGAATTGGCGCAAAGAGTATGAGGAGCTGCTGCCCTACTGTGTGCAAGATCCGGAGAGTCAGAAGGAGAACACTCTGACCGGACTCGTTCGCAGGTTCTTGCAAGAGTTCTCAACACTTTGTTGCTTGATTGAGCCCAAAGACCTTGATGGCGAGGCTATCGACGCCTTGCGTGCTGCTCAGAAGCCTGGTACTGCGCATAGCACAACCGACTCGGCAGATCCATTGTTCGTCCACATCCAGAAGGCCTACGCCGACATTTACACCCAGCAGGACAAGGGCGTTGTGTTCATTGCCATGCGGGTGGCACTCGCCTACCTGCTTCATGCCCAGGTATCGCTTGATGTCATCAAAGATGTTGCGGAGTTTGCGCCTGTCCTTGGAAGAGATGGGGCTGCTGGCATGCTGGACACTGACTACATGCTTGCATCGTGCCTGGGATCAGCAACCCGCTTGCAGAACAAGCGTCATCCAGGCAATGCCAGCGCCATCGAGCAGGGGAAATCGCGCCACGCAAGGAGCCAGATGACATTGCAGCAAATGATTCAGGAGTCCAAAGACTTTCAGTACCCAATGTCCAACCCCTTCGAGGATTTCTGCCACATTGTCGTGGCCCACTTCTTCGATGAGACCTTTGAGAACATTTCCCAGGAGCTTTCCACTAAGTGTCATCAGATTCAGCTGTGCACTCCTGCATATGCTCCCATGTGCTACCACCTGGGCCCTCTCTTTGTGCACCAGGATTCCCAGCACATGGGCAACTATGCAAAGGCCAACCCGATAGACCATTTCTCGTCTCGCTTCTTCCAGTCTGGCCAAAAACCGCAAGAGTACAAGGACCCGAATGGCCAGCTGTTCGATGTTTCGGAAGAGACCGCAGGTGCAGTGTCCACAATCAACGGCCTTCAAAAGGTGGACTACAAAGACAAGGCCAAGCTCCTCAGCAGCCTCATCAAATCCAACAAGCTGCCGGACACCATTGGGGCCTTTGAGAACAGCAGCCACCACGGCAAGTTTGATGAGGCATCGCTGAACTACGTGTGCAAGAGGCATATCTCATGCGCAGTCAACAAGACCAGGGACGACATTCTCCTGTCCTGTGATGCCCACATGTGCTTTGGTTGCAGTATGTATCAACCCTTCTCAAGCTTTCCAGGGTTTAGGGTTCAGGGAAGGGAGCCAGTCCAATTGTTGGTAAACCTGCCCGGCAAAAACACGCGCGACCCAGGTATGAGTTCACGCATCCCACGAAGCAAGGGCAGCACCTCAAAGCTGTCATGGACCGCTTCGAGTCCCTCGCCCTGGGCTACCCGTACCCCTTTCGATCCAGCGATCGCCCAGGAGCCAAAGAATACCGCGATGTCGAGAATGTGATTCCCTTCCTGTTCCACCATCTGAACGAAATCTCAGAAACGTGCAGGGGGAACGGGGGCGAGAGTGCTTCTGACCCAGATCCCCGCGCTGTGTGCCTCTCTGACCTGGATGCTGAGATTAGGAAGTCTTCCCTCTTCAAGCGGGTTGTGGAGCTGCTATCGAGTCAGGATGAGGATGTTCGCAGCAATGCGCGGTGTCTTGTGGGGCGACTGCATGCAGCTTGGACGAAGACGAAGGCGATGCCGCCAGATGCCGACGCCCGAAAGGAGCTGACGGACTTGATCCTTCACGAGCTCCTCCCACAGAGATACTCAAAGATTGATGTGCTTAAGTCCAAAGAGAAGCGGAGGAAGTCTCTGCAACAGAAGGATGCCAAGCTCTCTGCCTTTGAGGACTTGCGGACTTGCCCAGAATCTGGCTACTGATAGCCCCTCATAGGCAGGTAGGTAGGTGGGTGGTTAGGTAAGTAGGAAATCTGGGGTGGCAGTGCTTGGGGCGATGCACTTGACGCGCCAGGAGGCCATCATGTGTTACCGGAACTTCGTACGAGATCATGGGCACCGATTTGCACATGGGGCCGCCAACATCCCAAATGACTTGAGGCCAGCAGCACCAGCAGCGGGGTCCCTGCGCTCAGCAACTGCGCTCCTTGCTGGCGGGATGGATGCACCACCACCGTGCTCCTGGCAGGCAAGGCAGGTTTCCCAAGTGGAGGAAGAGGAGCTGGAGGACCTCCTTGGCTGAGTCCTTGCTCAGTCGGGCTTTTTACGCTGCAGGGCCAAACGAACGCACGTGGTACGTCGAGAGTTTGGCCCAATGCGTTTGAGCTTCCCGAACATCCGGGTATATGAGCCTTTCGCCAGGCGAGCATGAAGGACATGCACGGCGCACGGTGGAAGAAAATAAGTTGTCTATGCCAGTTGCAAGGCATGTCTTGAGCAACAGCATCGCAACTTCAAAGCTCTCCTCTTTGCATTCAGGTCACGACGCTGGGCTGCAGCACGTGAGTCCAAACCACGTTGGCATTCAGAGGCCTCAGAGGCAAGGATTACGGTCTATTTGTTGAGGAAGGAAGATCACGCTGTGCTCGTGTGTGGTTGATGAGCATTGTGCGGCAGGAGGCGAAACTCCCTCACAAGTAGAACATGTTCCTGTGCACAAGGTCCCCCTGTTGGCACCCCAAGAATCGTTTTCGTCCCTAAGCCTAAACCCTTGTCTGGCCTGTCAGGGTACTTGCCCAAAAAGAAGCGGCTGCGGTCTCAGCATCCCCTGCTTGAATCTCGAATATGGTTTAGGGTTAAAGGTTTCCATGATCGCGGAACAAGGAAACTACTGCACAATATGCCGATGTCCATCTTATTCTGAACCGCCCGCCTCTGCTTGGAAGCAGATCGGGTGGAACCTCACCTCTTGGGCGCATGAGTCTCAGGGCTTCAGGTGTCTGGTTTAGCACTTCAGGTCACCAGCTTTGGGCTTTAGGTTTCGGTTCTAAGTTCTAGGACTTTACGCTTTGTTTCGGGATTCGCTAGAGGACTAAGGTTTCCTCAACAGCATTTCTCGGATTCGGGTTCTGGGGTGCGCCTGTGGGCCCCTAGTGGTCATTGATTGCCTGAATTGCGGCGGTCTGCTGTTCAACCTGCAGAAGTTTGGCTTGCACGCCTAGGGCCACGGGATTCTCTACGTTAGGATCCCTTTTTGGTCCCCCCAAATAGTAGACTGGAGCCTAGAAGGGACCCTGATTTAGAGAACTACCCATAGATCTCATCACAATAGGTCGTCGGAAAGGCACTTTGCTGTTCGACACTACATCTAGAAGCCTCGCCTAGGCTCGAGGTATATCATATATCTACAAATATAGTCTGAATCCTTGTTGGCCACATGTTTACATTTGTTACAATAAAACCCGGCAAGGATTAGAAATGATCATTTTCAACATAGTCCCGACAGGAAACCAGTAGTATATTACGACAGCATATGTTTATGTAGTATATCACTATAGATGCAAGTGCCCGGATTTCCGCACTTTTGGAACACCACCACTCAGTCGAATGCAAGGCATCAGCCGGCTTAGTCTCGTTCTCTTAGCTTGTCTGTGTGGGTGCCAATATACTGTAGTCATATATACTATAGCCATATGTTATATAAGAATGTACAATGAGAATATACCGTAGTAATATGTTATAGTAATATACTGCTGTAATGGAATTTCTAGTAATAAACTATAGCAAGATACTGGAGTTATATACTATAGTAATACACAGTTTGAATATATACAATATCAAAGAGCTCATGCCCGTGGGAAGTCATGATTTTCGATACGTCGGGCCCGGGTCTGACTCTCCGTCATCTCTTCGCACATAGAACTGTACGTATATGTAACTGTTCATAATTTCGTTTAATATAATGCATATAATATAGAAATAGCTGCGGCCTCTGTTGTAGGTCCTGTTTTGGTTTAGCCAAATATGCATTTAGGATCCAAAAACAATGGAGACTATAGGTATATCTCATTCTGCAAGCGTTGCTATCACAGCGTAGCACATGCACGTGCGCATCTGCACACAACTTTGGCAGCAAAGAGCAACACTGCTCCAGTTGCATGAGGCCCTTTGCGATGCACGAACAGCTTGAAGCTCAAACTGCTTCTAGGTTCCTGTGACTGGGTGACTGCCTCGCTAACTGCACAGGCTGGTCGGGCTTGATCTGAGACTTTGAGGGTACGATGTGAAGTGAAGCTTATATCGTGCAGTAAGTCATTCTGGATTTAAATGATGACCGCCTTGTTTGCAGAGTCCGGCCCTGATTTTTTGCAGAAACGCATGTGCTTCAACCCGCGTGCTTACCAAACCAAGATAGGATGATAGGGTTGTATTTAAGCTTGCCATTTTTTGCCGCTTGAAAGGGTGACAAAGGGTGGCGCAAGCGTCATCAGAAATTCTCCAGGCATAATCCTACGTTAGCCCCTAGGTTAGGCGCACGGCCAAAAACGAGTGGGACATAATGGGACCTGTAAAATTAGCTGTGGCTCCAGACACACCTTAAGCCGGACAAGATGCGAAACATCTGCAGTTCTTGAAGCGACCCCACTTGGGCGCTTTTCGGCCTCCCCGAAGCCCACTGAACCCTCCTAAAGCCCGTCTAGTTACGCCCCCACCATCCCCCACCCCAAGTCAACCCAACCTCCCCCCTCCCAGAGCTTTCGGAACCCCCAAAATCCGTCTGGGTGTATTATTCAGGCCGCCTGGATTTGTTTGGAGGGACAGCATTACAGATAGTACCGCATTAATGCGAACCTTGCGTGGTCCAACATTGATCACGGTAAAGACGTGTTGTTTCTGAGATTCCCGAACCGACGTGCTTCGGCAGAAGTTTACACAAGAAAGGCAGCACACGAATGTTTCAAGCCTTTGGCCAGTCCTCCGAACATCATGAAGTTATCCCGCACGAAGATCAACAAAACGACTTGTCGCAGTTTACTTGTTGGCCTTTGGTTCCAAAAGTCTGGCTGCATGTAACTCCTCCTCGCAAAATTAATCAATCTCCGAGTCGACATGCTAGGACACGTTCCAAGAATGGCACGATGCCTACCAGCATGGAAAGCCGCTCGGCAGGAAATAATTAGCAGTGCTGCGCAGCCCTGGGGTTAAGAACTGCAAAACAGCACAGCGACGTTCATTGCCAGTTCGTGTGGCATTTGTGCCATGAGCCCTGCTGTCCACGTCCTCCAGCTTCAGCTTGCAGAGATTGCACAACAGCTGAAGAGACCGCTGCTGCGATCTATATTGGGAAAATAGAACGGGGCAGTGGAGCGCATCTAAGTTCGAAATGGACTGTCGCATTTACGAGCAGGTGCACAGTAGATAAGAAGGGCCTCAAGTATAGGGTTTTCTTATTCCACTCTACGAAGATGCTGGCTCATGCATTGCAGTTGTCTTTCGACTGGCTTTGAGAATCAAGAAAGCTTTCTCGTGATGAATGCATGTTTCAGCTTAGCCTGCTGCACTCCTAGAATTCTTGATGCTGAGGAGAATGATGAGAGCCAGGACCTCAGACGGTTGGGGCATCGGGGTTATACAGGGCTCAGGAATTCGTAATGCACCAAACATGGATCAGAAATTGGTTGCTTTTGACAGCGTCGCTCCGGATGTGTTGTAGCTAGGTACGGATGTTTGCCCTGACTGAGGGTACGCTTCTACCTGCTTCCCTCCTTTGCAATATCGGAATATATACACCCGAGGCATCTTCTTGTGTTTCCACACCCTTCTTCTCCGAACAGTGTCTCTCTTTCACTCAGGTTGCACAAGTGCTCATTTTGCATAAACATTTCATCAACTGAAATGCACTGCTTGCCTTACAAGGGCCACGGCAAGAGAAGCCCCTTTGTGTGTTATCAAATTTTGCTGAATTCTGGCGAGGACATCAACCCTGGCTCGAAACGTTGTAGGCTCCAAACTCCTAAATCTCGAGCCCTTCTAAATCCAACCCCTAAGACTGTGGCATTGTCATTATTGCCGGCTAAGGGATGGGAGCGCGGAGAGGTGCTTGGACAGAGAGTCAGGGTGTCAGGTTAGGGTCGCGGGGCTCTGTGGCAAGGAGTTTAGGCTTGGGGGGCTCAAGGCGTCGGGCTTCGGATATAAATGGTCCCAATCTAGAGTTTCGAACTTCGGGATAACTTGAAAGTGCGGTGCTCGGGATGTCTTTTCAAGAACTCGCGGCACCTTCAACTGTTTTGGGTTTGGATTCCGGGACGGGATTTAGGCTTCACGTTTAAGGTGACGGCGCCCCTAGCGTGCCGAGGCTGCTTTTCGTAGCTTCTAGTGAGACGCCGACTACTTCTTGTGGGGTGGGGG